TTCGGCGCTGCTGTGCGAGTCCAACCAGCCGGTGAGGGCGGCTGCAAGCTCTACGCACAGCGTCTTCATCGACGGCGAGGGGCGGCTCTCGTCGTGCGGCAATGAGCCGGATCACATCCCAGGCCTCCTTGGCCACGGCGAGGGCGTGACGCGGCTCAACACGCCGACCCGCCTCACTTCCCCGCTGGGCGGTGAGTGCGCCGTGAGCGTGTCGGCTGGAGGTCTGCACAGCCTTGCCCTCACCGGCAGCGGCGCCGTCTGGAGCTGAGGCTATGGAGCCGGTGGCATGCTGGGCCACGGCGACTGGCAGGGTCAGCTGCTGCCAAAGAAGATCGAGGCCTTGGCTGACTTGCGCGTCGTTGCTGTGTCGGCTGGAGGCGGGTACAGCCTCGCCCTCACCGCCGGTGGCAGCGTCTGGAGCTGGGGCTTTGGAGAGCAAGGCCAGTTGGGCCACGGCGACGATCAGGAGCAGCTGCTGCCGAAGAAGATCGAGCTGTTGGCGGGGCGGCGCGTCATCGGTGTGTCGGCCGCAGACGAGCACAGCCTCGCCCTCACCGCCGACGGCGCCCTCTGGAGCTGGGGCGGTGGAGCCTTTGGCAAGCTGGGCCACGGCGACCAGCAGGCCCAGCTGTTGCCCAAGAAGATCGACGCCTTTGCTGGCCAGCGCGTCGTCGCCGTGTCGGCTGGAGGATACTACAGCCTCGCCCTCACCGCCGACGGCGCCGTCTGGAGCTGGGGCGATGGACTCTCTGGCAAGCTGGGCCACGGCGACACGCAGCTACAGCTGCTGCCCAAGAAGGTCGACGCATTTGCTGGGCGGCGCATCGTCGCCGTGTCGGCTGGAGCCGCGCACAACCTCGCCCTCACCGCCGACGGCGCCGTCTGGAGCTGGGGCTTTGGAGCCTTTGGCCAGCTGGGCCACGGCGACCAGCAGCGCCAGCTGCTCCCAAAGAAGATCGAGGCCTTCGCTGGCCAGCGCATTATCGCTGTGTCGGCGGGAGAGCGGCACAGCCTCGCCCGCACCGCCGATGGCGCTGTCTTCACGTGGGGCAAGGGCGAGACCGGCTGCCTAGGCCACGGAGAGGACCTATCGGACCAGCTGCTGCCCAAGAAGATCGAGGTGTGGGCGCCGGGCCAGTGCGGAAAGGGGAATCGTGAGTGAGCTGCAAGCCTGCCTCTCGGCTACTCGAGTACCTGGGCGGGGAAGGGGTGGGTCCAAAACGCGAGCGTGGTGCCTGGTGTGCGTGCGTGTCGCGTGTTGTTGTCTGTTAGTTTGATCAACTTTTGATAGCTTCCGGGAAGGACTCACCACACACCATTCAGCGTGTGACGGAACGGTGTGAAGCTCCCGGGAGCTTGATCCTTGAGTTCCGAGTAAAATACATAGGGGCCTACACAGCTGTACATGCCGCGCGCGCGCCTTACGCCGGGGAGTATCTCATCCCACGCACGGCCGGCGCGAGCGTTAGAAGAGAGACGCTCTCAGCTCAGCACGACTTCCGTCTCCCCCGACGCCGCACCCCGAATCCCTCCCCGGGTTGCAAACCCCTCAACACACGGGCGTACGTACATAGAGCCGTACGTGCAGGCTGCTGCTCCCGCTCAGGGCGTGCCCCCCCCCCCCCCA